AATTCACTTTGAAATTTATTAATCTTTTCCATTTGTGTATGCTGGCTTTCTCTCGACTGTTGGAGACTTTCTTCCTGTTTCGTATTCCAGTTGCCACTAGTGTTGGTTCTTTTGTCACTGCTCTAGTCTCTCTATTTGTTTATTTTCTTTCACCTCCAACCACTGCTGTAGTCTTTCTTCTTGTTTATTTTCTTTCTCCTCCAACCACTATTGTAGTCTCTTTTTGTTTATTTTCTCATTCTTCTTGTTTCTTTTCTTTTTCCTCCAACACTTGCTGTAATCTCTCTTCTTGTTTCTTTTCTCGTTCTTCTTGTTTATTTTGCTGTTCTTGTATTTCTACCATCAAATCTGCTAAGCTGTAGTTTGATTTGCCACTTCTTGTTTCCATCTTATTCTTTTTTTTTCTCTGTCTCTTTTTCGGTCCCACTCTCTGACACCAATTTGTTGCGTATCTGCTCATTTGTTAATTTCCAGTATAAATTCTTCCCGAGGAACTTCAGCGATACAAGTCCTTTCTTAATTAAAACTAATTTATTCTTTCTTGATACAACTTTTTGTAATACACAGAATTTCCACAGTCACTTTAAAGTTAACAACCTTTATAACACATGCTATAAATAACAGTGATTCACACACTTTAGTTACGGTGCCTACTGTTTGCTTGACTCAATTATCTTCAATCTATTTTGCTGGCTTTATTTGCCAGGCTTATATACTAAAAAAGAGGGTGCCTGGCAAACACTTGGACATTTGTGGGGTTCCTCGATAATTCATGATCCTTCGAGAAACTCCAGCGTGCATGCTCCCAGCGTCGCATGACTTTTGCTGTCATAACAACATCTTAAAAACCTATTGTTACAGTTATAAGGTAAGTTTTCAACTTCTGTTTGATTAAATTCTTCAATGAATTTTTTATAGTTAAAGAGAAGAAGTCCTATAGGTTTATTATATTTACTATCAGTTACTGATTAGTAATTCTATAGAAAAAATGAATATTTATTTGTCTTTACAAATAAACCTTGTTTATTTAAATGCAAAGTAAAACAAGATTTTTTACATATGTAATCACATTTGCAATTACTGTAAGGCTAATAATATGTGACTGTAGTATTTATGATTTAATTAGCTATTATGCATAAGCTGAATTCTGATTTTCAACAGTTTTTTAATTAATCTATTTCATATTTGATAATAAAAATAACCAAATAGTAGTAATAGTAAAAAAACCGAGAAAATTTTGCAAATGTATAAAAAAAGGAGTTATTTCAGGATTAGTTGAATTTTCAGGACTTCCAAAGAAGCACAGTGCTAAGATTTTAAAACATCTAAATGAAAACATTGAATGTCATACTTGAATACTAACAAAATACACTTCTCTAACACACATCAAAAATCCACTACAGTTTTTGATTTACTTGTTTAATGAACTTGAATATTGCTTTTTTCACAGTCACTACAAGATACTTCATGTGAATGCCTGTAAAATACATTTACTAAGAATAAATGATGACTGATATGAAAACAAGGTATAACAAATTTCTATATATTCCTTTAAACTCATTATAGACCTATGTCAAAGTTAGCTAAAACAGAGACATCAATATTATGTTAATCTTCATTTTCAAGAACTTAGTACAATACAACAAATCTACTAAAACACTGTAGTTGTACATGTGATTGACCACAGTTTCATCTATCCTAAAAATTATGTTTAAGTTTTTCTTCATAAAATGAGAGTAGCTGCCTAAAGTAGTATTAGTTTGCCCATGTGTGAAATACAATCCTGCATGATTAATCACCTGGAAATTTCACTTCAAAAGCACAATTTAAAAACCAAAATAAACCTGATTGCAAATACATATCGTCTTGTATATTTCTAAATATACAAAACATTCAATGTGTCAGTTTAAGAAAAATATTGATAATCTGGTCTAAAATTTTTTCTTTTGAAATACATACAATATATACATGGTCCTTGTACTTAACAACATTTGCTTTTAGTTTTTCTAAACTATTAATACACATTGAATAACCACTATATTACTAAGTATATACTTGGAGGGTACCTTATAATAACTTAATGAGCTCTGTCTGATGCCGCACACACACTAGAACTGAGAATGAGGCTGGTAGGAGGAGTGTCTTCCTCTAATACAGTAATTTAACATTATATTCCACAAAAGCCAAGTACCAAAATACCATAAAATAGTAAAATATTTTAAAAATTAGATTTCATCATTACATGAAATAGTTTTAACGTGAGTAACTTACTTAGTTCACTGAATAATAATGGCCAAATAATTGTGATAGTATGTGACATGTTATCCAAACACCTAAAGTATTGTAAACTATTAGTGGTGAGTATACATCAAAATCAAACAATATGGGTATCTTACATCAAATACAAAAACAGAATTCTTAAATTCCAAGATACCCACATCCCACACTGAAATTATGATCTGAATATATTCTATGCACTCTCAGACCCCACAATAAAAAAATAACAGGATGAATAGGATCTTCTCAAAACTCAAGAATCACTGCAATGTGATCAACATATTCTGTGCATTCTCAAATACAGTAATTCACAGTGACGTAATGAATACATATATTCTCAAACCCCACAATAATGACAAATGTATATATACACATACTATCAAACCCCACATCTCATTCACATTATGAATATAGCTCACATATTTCTACAATTACAAATCATTTGTATTGTGCTAGAAATGTTATATTTAAAGAAGTACTGTTAGGATAAAGATACTAATTTGGCTAGAAATGTCTCTACTAGTAAATATAACTGGAATTACAAGTGACACTTAGCTTTGTAAAATATGCAGACAATTATACTTTATATGTTTTCAAAATATGAATAAAATGTTTGTGTAAACCCACACACAAAATAAATACTCATACACTAGGACTAAAACTTATTTTGTAAACTCAACAACAATCAACTGATTTAAAGTACATGCACCTCTTAAAAAGCAACTGCATAAAGATAGAAATAAATGCAAGTATACTTTCAGAATATCTTAAAACAGGCCTAATAGATCATTACATATCAGCTACTAATTCAATCCTTCATCTAGAAGTATCTAATGAAAATTTCAAATATGTATGATTTGAATATCTGCAATTCTAAGAGGTGGTAGATATTTTCAGCATAAGTCCAAGTATGTGGAAATGAAATTCCCAGTAATTTATAGATTAATGTAGTTACTTCTACAAACACTAATAGCAGCAATGGGTGTTCAGAAAGGGGCAAAAAGTTGTTTGCCAACTGTGTTTTCAGACCTATCAGTAGTACAAGGAGAGATGAATCAATTTCAGGTTTGCTGAATGCTTTTCATTTGTTTGTTTGTAATTAAAGACAAAGCTATGCAATGGGTTATCTATGCTGTACCCACCATGGGTATCAAAACCCAATTTTTTAGCATTTTAAATCCACAGGCTTACAATTAAGGCACTACAAGATGCTGGTTGCTTATTTGTTTACAGTGTGTAAGGACACTCAAACATACTTATTTTTCACTTAGCATAGAGAAAATCGGCATTAATCGTTTTAGCCAACCCAAAAAGAGTATCTAATTACACTCGTAGAGAAAATATATGAAATCAACTTTAAATAGTTTTAACCACTTCAAAAATGTTTTAGCCACCTCAACCAAAGTGTTAAATCACTACACAGAGAAAATATGTCAAATCAGCTTAAAACATTAAAAAATGTTGTAGCCACCTCAACCAAAGTGTTAAATCACTACACAGAGAAAATATGTCAAATCAGCTTAAAACATTAAAAAATATTTTAGCCACCTCAACCAAAGTGTTAAATCACTACACAGAGAAAAT